AAAGTCGGTAGCGACTCTTGTTTACCTTAACATTTGCGAACAAAAAAAGAAAACCAGTATTAACAGTCGGTTCTGCCACCGTATCCCAGCCATCTCATATAATGAGAAACACAATCAAGCGCATCGGAAGCAAACTCGAATCCACAAAGAAGTGGAAAAAATGGTTTTCAATCGAATAATCAAAGCATTAATTAAGAGATTCAAAGCTCTCTTGAAATGCCTTGCACAAGTCAACAAATGTGTTAGTAATAACAAGGAGGCATAATTGGAATCAAGTATTCGAATCACAAATTAAATCAAGATTAAGTTGCAAAGAAAAATAATTCGAACAACCAATGGAACACCAACATCAAAAACCGGGCAGCATTGTCGTTATTTTATGAACCGACCAAAAAGTGGACTTAAAATCAAACAAACTTGATACCGTTATCAAAAAATTGTCTGCTTAAGCTCCATTATGCAACAAGTATGAATTAAATCACAATGTAGATGCAAAAACAATTTTCTGGACAACATTGGTTTAGTTGCACAAAAAGTTGGAATAAAAGCAATTGGGTTTGATACCGGTATCCACTAAACGTGCCCAACAAGCTCAAATATGCGTCAAGTTGGAATTAAATCACCGATTAAGCAACACTTACCATCTGCAGGCAGCAACTACGCACCTTACAAAATGCTCGAAAATTCATAATAAAATCCACCAAATATGATACTGGTATCAACCAAATACAAAAACAATGTTATGTATGCACCGAACAACATTAGAATCACAATTTATAACACATTTGAGATCTCCGAACAGCCGTGATGTATGTATCAATTCTTTCTAAAATTCGGTTCAAAATCAACATTTTAAAGCACAAAAGCTAAGCATCGATACATGAACAATCAATTTAAATTCACAAACAAGTTACAATGAATTACTTCACATCAAAGTATTGATTTCCAAGCAATTTTCAAATCACTCAAGTGTCAACAAATTTAATCGGATCCAAAATTTATACATGGACACAATCAATCTGACATTATCAATAATCAAATCAACTCGCAAAAGGAATTGACACATGAAATTAGCATTAATTCTCACCAATCAAACAACTCAAATTTTAGATCGATACTAAAATCTCATCAATAATTTATTGATTAAATCCGTGAGATTTAAAAAAAATATCCGGTGGGAGCCGGAGCAAGGCGGCGTGAGAGGAGGCCTGAGGGAAAGGGGGAAGTTCTGCAGATGAGGGAGGAGGACATAAAGCTTGTAATGCTCTTGAGTCTTCTTTGTGTTCTTCAGAAGTTGAGAGAGAATAAAGAGTTTTAAATGTGATTTTTTTTAGAATGAGGGAAAATTTCATTTGAATTTGAATTTTGAAAATATATAGAAGTGACTCCAAGTCTTGTTTGGCAAGTGTATTCTTGACAAATGCTGAATTTTCAACTTATTTCATGTTTCGTCAGAGATCGAACCCCAAGCTCATGACATTGGATGCATAATCCTGACGTGAAACCTGAAACAAAACCGCTGATGATGAAATTTGTGACGCCGTGCCAAAAGAATCGTCCCGATACGATAAAAATTGAGTGAGTTACGCTGCTTCGAATGACGAGAAATTAATGTTTAAATTCACCAGGAAGATTTTTTAAGCTTATTTTGTGTACGACTCAAAAACAAACCACAAGCTCGTGACTTTCTTTGTAAAATCCCGACGCGAACCCTGAAGTAAAATCATAGATGGCGGAATTCGTGACGCCATGCCAAAAGAATCCTCCCGATACGATAAAAATCAAGTGAGTTACGATGATTCAAATAGCGAGAACTCTGTGTTAAAATTCACCGTGCATATTTTTCCAGCTTATTTTGTGTCCTGTTCGCGAACAAACCACAAGCTAATGAACTTCGATATTGAATCCTGACGCAGTCTCTAAAACAAAATCGTCGATGAAAATTTTGTGACGTTGTACCAAAATAATCACCCCAATACGATAAAAATCGAGCAAGTTATGATTTTTCGAATGGCAAGAAACAATAAACTTTTTCTGGCTGCATTGAAATTTTAGCTTATTTTCTTGTGCACTTTAAGAAGCGATCCATGAACCAAAGCCTTCATAGCACAATCCGAACTCGGGACCTGAAGCAAAGTTATAGCTAAAAAAATTTGTGATATCACGCTTCAATAATCGTTCTGAACAAATAAAAATTAAGAAAGTTCCAAATTTTGCAATATCGGGAAACAGATCGGTAGAAAACAATTTCGAGGCACAATTTTCTCAGGTGATTCGCACTTTCGGAGATCTTCTTCAAAGAATTAACTTCTGATACAAACATACGAATTGAGGATAACATCAAGACGAATTTTACGCCCAAATAACCAATCAAAAACCTTGCACCAGGTGAAAGTTATGAATTTTTGAACATCCGAAAAACAACGGTTCCGCACATCATTTTCACTGTATTTTCACTGTATATCTTCAGAGTATTCGCACATTCCGAGATCTTCCTCAATGAATTGGCTTCCGAGCCACACACGAAAATTGAAGAAAATAACAGGAAAGTTCAATTTCTTTAAGAGCCACTCAAAGATGATCTTCTGCTTAGAAGTTAAGAATTTTTAAGCATCTGAAAACCAACGAACCAGCAAATCCAGTATATAACTTGATTTCAGGTATTTGCGCTTTTGAAGATCATCCTCACAAAATTTGACATCGATCTGAACATATGAATTCAGGAAGATCTCAAGAAGGTTATAAAGACTTAAGAACCACTTCCAAACCATTTTCTAGTCTCAAGTTATGAATTTCTAAACTCGAACCGCAAAACTGAATTTCTGTCTGCACTGTCTCAAATTGATTTAAACGCTTGACTTTCCCTGTAATTCAAAGCGTGAAAAAACACATAAGAGCTTTATATGATGATGAACTAATTAGGTGTTGATTGAATAGCTTGGAGACCGTGTGGCATACACTTAAATGCAGAAAACCCTTAGTTTTGCTTCACAATATTGCTTAACGGAACAATCATCTTTCACAACTCTTTCTTGTAGAGAAATGCCTTGATCCCATGAGTATAGACCCAATGGCATGTATGTATGCTTGTGATGATGAAATATAAGCCAATTAGGATTAAAATGAAGAGGGCGAATTTTGGGGGTGCAATAATGCATTGCATAGGTCGACACATACTGAAGCATTTCTGAAATTGAAGAAATTCTTATTTTATGTGTCGCACATACGAATTTCATGTCGACACATTTACTGTTGTTTTAAAGCATGTAGCCTCTGACATGTTTCGATTGACACATACCTTCTTTCAGGTTGACACTTACAACTTAAAATTAATGTATGTGTCGACACATACAATTTTTAGGTCGACATATACTGATTGTTTTGGTAAATTTTTTAAATCTTTTTATTTCCGAATAAGTCCTTTTTTCCCTAAATTTCCAAAACTATAAATACATCATTCATTTATCATTCATAACTTGATGATACCATTAAATTAGCATACATTTGCTCTTCATCTTTAACCTCCAATCTATGTATACGCACTAACATTCCATTATAATGATCTTCTTTTGGGGTGTCATCTAGACGAGGTTTAATAACGTCCGATTAGGTTCTTGCGTAGCCGAGAATATTGGATTGAGATTTATAGGGATTTTTATCTGAAAAAATTGCGGGTTTGTCCTCCAATATCACTGATTGATTTGGGAGTTTTCGTGCAAGACATTCAAGAGGAAATTGCGGCCAAGTGAAGTCTTTTGTAGATAAAGAACACAAGAGATCCTTTGAAGATAAAGAACACAAAGGAAGTAGTGAGAGAAAGGCGAATTAGAATTGAAGCCTTGTGTTGCAATAGGAGAAATTGATGGTGCACGAAATCTTTGGAGATAGAATATGTAAAGGAGTAACAAGATCCAGGTAGTCAATTTGGAACTATTGTGTCTTGATCTTTCTCAAGATCAAAGGAAAAGAATGGGTTAAATCAACAACAAGCATTAGGGTTTGTGGAGTTGCTCTTGAACACTTCTCTTGTATCAATTTTTTGCATAGTAAGAATTATCCTAATTCCATTGGAATTAGGCGCTGACATACCCACACACGAGGACGAAAGTGAGAAACTGTGAAGACAAATCCTCGTATCTCTTTTATTATCGCTTTTACTTGCTTTGATATTCATCAATCAATTTGTCCAATAACATTGTGTTATCAATTGAATTGTAAGAAATTTTTCGGAATGTTTTTTATTTTAAATCAAGTGTGGATATTGCTTATAATCACTTTTGATTATAAGTGCTTTTGTGTATCAATACAACTTAAGGGAAAATTGTGAAAATTCAATTGCACACCAAGTATTCGATATATTGATTTTATTTGTTCTTTTGAATATTGTCATTGGAAATAGAATTTCTAGTAACTTGCTACAAATGGTTGATAACATGTTACTTGATTTAATTTTTATTAATTCAGTTTATCATATTCATTCCATTTACAATTTATTATATAGTTTCATATCCGAGTTTTAAATAACTGTTCGTATTGACGACTTATTTTGAAAAGCTTTCGCATAAACTCTTTATTAAATAACTTTTTCAAAATCAGAATTTTATAGAGTTTTCAAAAGAAATATCTATTCACCTCACTCTAGATACGTTGACGTTGTCGTTGTCTAACACCTAAATTAGTCTATATTTAGAATATAATAAGCACTCCAATCCAAAGAATTCTTCATTAAGAAAGCAATCTTGACATAACTTGTCAAGCCTGCTAACTTCCTTGCACGTGGTTAATTACGCAATGCAACCTCTTAAAATAAATATGTACAATGAATCATTCATGTACCTGTGTGATCAGAAAAGGTACATGAAAACAAATTAAGATATAAGTCGTGTGTGTACGCTTGTAATCAATTTCAAACAAGAATTAAATTAAAATTGTAAATCAAAGTATAAGTACCACACCATCATGAACTAGAAATTAACAGATAGTAAGAAAGGTAAAAGTTACTACTTGTTTTCTTTAATCTTGAACCATGACTTAGCACAATGGGAATGTGCAATTCCTAGCTCATCTTTACATGCACAACCAGGCATAATCAAACCTGTTTTATCATCAGCTTTATATGGAGTTCCAATTGAAGTTTCTTCTAATGGTTGCCCAGATGCCAGATGGCAAATCTTACAAATTATTCCACCATCTAAATTCTCATGTAGTTCTTCACCAATTTCCCCTTCCTTTGATGATCATGAAAAGGTCTTGGTGTTGACGTGTGTGGTGATGGAATAGGTGTGGCTGTAGAGGAAATAATGAAGATCATAATAATCATGAGGTGGAAGAAAATGGTGCAACAAGACCGTGAAGGAGAAGAGGATGTTGACATTTCTTGAGTTGAAAATAAAATGAGTGTTTATAAAGATTTGTCATATATGGGTTGTTGTCATCTTGTGTACTGGATCATTGGTAAAAGGAAATGGGCTTAAGTTCCAATATATTTGTATTCTAATTATCATAAACAAGTCTGCAAAAACGGCTGGGGACAAAAAAATCTCGAAAAATCTAAAATAGAGGGCGGTAAATTGAATCACTATTTTTTAGACGTTCAAAAATTCATAATTTTTGTCTGGTTCAATGTTTTTGCGTGGTTCTTTAGGCGAAAAATTTGTTTTGATGTCATCTTCATTTCGTATGGTCGGGTCGAGAATTGATTCATTTGCTAAATTTCACATTCAAACTCTCTCTACTCTCTCTCAAACTCAAAAACAAAGAAAATTCAAACTCCCTTCCCTCCATTTCCAAGAAGCGCGCGCCACTACTCCTTGCCCTCAAGCCTGCCGACCGCCTTCCATCTTCGGCGCCTGCCATCTCCCTCACACCACCGATCGCCATTGCACCCTGTCGGTCGCCCCCCTTAACTCGTCGTCTTCCACGTAATCCCTCCGTCTCTGGTGCATTTTGCTCGTCGCAACTCCCTCTGATTCCGCAAGTAGCTACGGTGATACTCATCTGTTCCTCTTTCGTTCTGAATTTTCAACATCATCCTTCGGTAAATTCTCCTAAATCTTGATTAATTCCATTGTTTATATTGAGATTTAATTAATGAAACCTTGAATTAGTATGTTCATGAATTGAAGTTTTGTGTGATGGTTGATCCTTGAATCTTGATTTTAATGGAGTAAATGAGTAGATGATGATGAATATGTGTGGTGTAGGTTAATTGATTGATGTTTAATTCGGTATGATTCATGAACGTTAATCGGATTTTTTATGTGAGTTTTGACTGTGAATTTTTATGACGAATTGTGAAGTTGTGTTGAGATTTAATTTCAATTTCATTATTAATGCGATTTGAAATCGATTTGTTGATGGATTTAGTTTTTCGACATCAAAAACCTCAACTAATTCAATTATGTTAACACATGAATGTTGTTTGTTTGAGCTTGGAAGCGTGATTTTGATGTGAATTGATTGTTTGCAATTTGTTTACAATTTCCCAACAACAATACTAGAATCGATAATCTCCTTTGCATATCCGTTTATGATTTTGAAACTCATTTTCAATCAATATTAGTTCAAGTGTAAGTTGCTGCCTGGATAATGTAAATAAGTTGAAAATCACTTTTTAAATACCGTTTGAGGTTCACTTGAGTTGCTTGTGCGTTTGTGGATGGATTATGTTGAGTTGTATCATTTTCAATGTGTGGTTTGGATACATTTATGATATGTTACAAGTTTGTTCAGTGTTGGTAAGTGGTGTAAAATGCACAATTTAATTATTTTTAAATACTTAAGGAAGTTTGCCTTGGTAATTGATGAGAATCAGTATCATTTTGGTTGGTTTCACAACCAGTTCTTGCGCGTTTTGTAAATAGAAATGTTGGTGTCCAGAATTCATGTTCATGTGTACATATTGATTTTATTTTCATTTAACACTTACTTGCATATGATTGATCATTTCATGAGCATTAAAAGTAGATTTTCTTGTTTCTGATATAAGTTCCGCTTACATTCATGTATATATATAGTGTTGTCTCGTTTTTAATTCCACGTGTACATGTCATTTTAATTGTCTTTTGATGTTCATTTGTACATATCTAAGCATGCCGTGAACGTTGAGGATGAGTTTTATCGAGTCCGATGCATTTTTTTATTAATTCCATGTTTACATGTGTTGTTGCACGGATTCGATAAGTAGGTGTAAATGCATGATTTAAATATTGTTTAAGGCATGCTTGATCATGTTTTGGTGCTTATAGATCGTTGTTGTTGAGCTATACCGTTTTTGGTGCAATTTTCGGATGCTTTCATGTTGTAAGCGCATTGCCGCCTGACTTTTAGTTTTTATCATCCGTTGCTTATTTATACCTTGGTCATTTGCATTTATCGTTATTTTTGAGTTTTAATTCGATGCTTGATGTTACTTTGTTATTTGCTAACTCGTTTGTGACTTGTGCAAGTTTCTGAAGGCTTTGTCGTGCGACATGAGACACTTGGATTGTTGTCTTGTTGTATAGACTTATCTTGTGTAGAGACTTTGATTCGATGCGACATATTTTTCGCGTGCAATTTATTTTCACATTTGCGACTTTGATTCTGATATTGGATATTGTGTCTGACCGTTTCTCTATTTCTTAGTGAAGCTTGCACGTAGTTTTCAGGTTTCTTTACTTTTGTCTGATAATTGAAGAACTTTCGTTCGATTGGTATTTTCTCTTGTTTCCTTTTATCTCTTGCATCTTTTACCACTTTCTTTTCCATGAGAAGTAGGACTAGAGATGCATGACTGGGATTCCCTACTTTAAGTGGGCAATGCTGTTTTAAAAGACTTTAGAAGGAAATTCTTACTTGTACTTGTTTGTTTACCATTCTGCGTGTTTACATTTATGACAAAGACCTCGATGAATGTGTCTCATTCTCATTACCTATTGATAAGTCCTCAAAGAAGGCAATTGGAAAAGGGTCTGCAATCGACTCCCACAATTTCTAGTCCACAGGTCATTCTTAGCTCGTGTCGTACGTCGATGCTATGAATCATGTTATTCTTGTATCGAGTCAGTCAAGTGGAGAAGGGTTCACAATCAACCCCCACGCTTTTTCATTAGTTTGTGTGCGTGCATATTGACTCTTTGATGTGATCTCATTATTTCCTTCTATCTTCTACCTCGATAACATGATATCTTGGTTAGGTGTTTAATCCTTTATGACAATTCACTCTCATTCTTCTCTTTCCTAGATAATGTGTTATCTTGGTTAAGAGTTGACACCCCTTATTCTTCTTGCCATGATCACGTGCTATCATGGTTAAGAACTACCTATTCCCTCATTCTTGCTTGCCTCTATGATTTGATATCTTGGTTAAGCCTCCCTTTATCCTACCTTGATGGCTCGATATCTTGGTTAGGTTCCCCTTCTTCCTTGTCCTACCTCGATGACATGATATCGTGGTTAGACGTGATCTTTCTCCCTTTCCTTCCTTGGTAACATGATACCTCGGTTAAGTGTGTACTACTTAAGCGAGTGGATGCTCCTCAAGCTTTGTATGTTTACTTTCCATTGCATGTTTACATGCTTTCGTAGGATTTCTAGAATCAATCTTAGGAAGCGAATTGAGATAGACCTTAGGTTGCAAACCATGCATGACAACTCTAGACATACTTTACTAGTTTCCCTTGGGCCTTTTTCTTTCTCTTTTGCCTTCGCATTAAAATAAAAACTTATTTTTTTCTTTCAACTTCAAAACACTATAATAATAAAAAAAAATCCTTTTTCAAGGTAAAAAACACCAATCAATTTAAACTTCATTTTGCCGCTTGGATTTTCTTTCAAAACCACTTTTCAAGGTAAAAAATAATCAAAACATGTGAGTCGAACTACGACGCTCTAATTCCTCGAAAGGAAAACGTAAGCATTAGGTCGCGGGGCCTAGGCGAGCAAAAATTTATAAATTTTCCTTCTTTTCCCTGTGTTTTCTTTTGCATTCATTCCCTCATAACATTAAGATTTAGACATATATTTTTACACACTCTTAGATTAGAGCAAACTTAAGTGGATAGTACCACAGACACGTGGGATGCTAATACCTTCCCCTTGCATAACCGACTTCCGTACCCATTCTTTTGGTTGCAAAACCATCTTATCCATTCCTTTGGGGTTCTCTCGATATCTTCCATTCCTTCGGGAAAAATAGAGTTCAGTGGCGACTTTGTGTTTTTTTTTCGCGACACGATAGTTGGCGACTTTGCTGAGGACAGGTTGACTAGTTGTTGGTCCATCCTATGCAACTCAGTCCAAGATTTTGTTTATTTTCTATCTTTGGGTGTTTTGTGTGTTATTGCTTTATTGATGCTTTATTTACTTGCTTACGTGCATATGTTTACATGTCATTTTATCGCTTTTCATATACTGTTGTTGTGTTGTGTTGTTTCCTTGTTGGGCGGGTGTTCCATGAGGTAAAAGGCCCATTACTCAGGCCAGTGACACATAGGTTAGGCAGATACTCATGTTGAATCCTGTGTTCCGTTGACACGTGTGAGGAGGCATAAGATACCACACTCATATGAGGTTCTCTTGACAATGCCTTTTGTCTTGTACCCTTTGTGCATAGACGAGGTGTTCAGATGGAGAACTCCCAACTCTGATTATCATTGGGGACCCTGTTCTAATTAGAACTTACCTGTGAGTTGGGGTGTGAAATCATTCTTACAGATACAGATGGTGACTTTGTTCTAATGGTGACCGTATTTTCTGTTGGTGACTATGGTTCTTTGGTTATGTCCCAGACCTTTGATCTTATGATATTCAACTTATTCAGAAGATTGTACAGTATTTATTTAAACGATTGTATAGTACTTATTCAGAGGATTGTACAGTGGTTACCCAGACCTTGTAGAACTTGATCCCATGTCGTTGCATACCATAACATCATATCATTATGTATACTCATCCTATTTCAATGGAATTCCAAATATGGGTCTCTTTCGCTGAGCTTTTCAAAAGAAGAATGCTATTACCAAAATATTTCTTATGGATAGACAAGTCTTTGATTTTCCCTAAAAATAAAAGATGAAACATGCATTCATAATGTTATACCCCAAAATTTTCCCTCTCATTTCTCAAAGGATCATCCTAGACCCCCATGTTTGCTTCTGACAAGTTTCAAGTCTCAGATTACAATTTTCTAAGAAAGTCATTCACAAGAGAAAAATGGTCAAAAGCACGCTGAAAAGTCAAACTTTGACTTTTTGAGCAAAATCAAGTTTCAACAATCATATTTCATCAAGGCATGAAATTGGTTCCTCAAGAAATCAAAAGTCGGAAATTACTTTGAAAAAAAATCAAATTTTTAAACACTTAGAAAAATTTCTAAGTGCTAAGAAAAATATGGCAATTTCAGAGCTTCTGGGCCAGATTTCACGCAAGCGCAATCAGAATTTGCAAAAATGGTTCAGAGAATGACTCTTTAATCAGAACATAAGGAAACTGTGTTCTTCGATCAGAACATGACTCTTCAGCATATGAAGACTATGTTCTACGCTTCGATCAGAACGTCACCCTTCGAGTCTCATTCTGGTCTTCCTCGATCAGAACATCACAAAGCTCCAAAACCTCGTTTGAACAGTCTGCTGCACTGCTATGGCACAGTCTTGCATCCAGCTGCCACAACACTCCAAAGTGCTGCTGATCTAGTCCACGCCTGCATTTTTCTCAAATCCCATATTTGCACCAAATTATCATATGAAAGCTGTGTTTAAAAAGAAATGGAACAGTATGCAAAAAAGGCTTAAATCCCATTTGTTTCCCCCCCAAAACTACAACAAACTCATCTATAAATAAGTTGTTTCATCATAAGTTTAAGGGGTTGGATTTTAAAATGAGAGAGTGATCAAATACACAAAAGAGAGAGAAAGAGAAGAAAATATTCCAAACATTCTCAAAACCCAGAATTCTCAAAAAAATATTTTTGTTCTTCCCTTTGAATCAAAGAACATAACATGTTTTGTTCCGTT